ACTGGAGTATCATCATTTCAGTGTACATAAAGGATGTCCGTGTGGAGCATCCTGTTGAGATGGGTGGGGACAGCTAATTTGAGAAGCAGAGGGTAGATGTCAATGAAGGCTCCAAAGAAAAAGAGGTGTTTTTAATTCTCTGTAAAAGGCTACATGGACTTCTGCTACATAAAGAAAACAGCACGGCAGAAAGAAAGGAACAGCTCTAATAAAAGTGGGCCCTATAATCAAATGAACATGTCATTTATTGTCAACACAAGATATTTCTCTTTTTTATATATTTTTATTGAATTTTTGTGCATTTCATACACATCTTAGTCATCTTTATACCCCTTTCCCCATCAGCACCTTCCTATAGCACCCCAACTAGATTTCATGCATTCTGTCATTTATGTTAAGGTCTATCAAGTCAAGTTAGTGTCCCCAGGTATCCCTCGGTGCAAGCTCAATCACTGGGGCTAGTCAGCCTATGTTGAGTCACTCCCCTACAGAAGATCAGCTCTTCCTCACTCAGCAGTAATCAGCTGCCAATAGTTTTTTGGGCAAGATTGGGGCCTGCAGCCCATTTCCACAGTTTTATGCTGGGTTTTTATCTTCTTCAGTTTGCATGGGTCTTGTACATACTGTCACCATTGCTGTAAGTTCATATGAACAAGGCCCCAGGAGCCTGTAAGATTCTATTTCCATATGGTAACACACCACCTCCCTGGCTCTTACAATATATTCCTGCCCCCTCTTCTACAGTGATCCCTGAACCCTGGGTGAGTGAAGTTTAATGTAGGAATCCTGTCCAAGGACCCACACTCTGCATATTCTTGTTCTCTATGCTTTGGCCGTTTGTGGTCCCTTGTGTTCATAGCCCTCTGTTGCATGATGGAGCTTCATCGATAAGAGTTGAGGGATGCATTAGTGTTCTCTCTACCCATTGTTCCACTATATTCTGTGAGCCTTTGGTGTAAAGGTTCCAGCACAGGATATTTCTGAAAGTGAAAGAACAGTATTAATAATTATTCTAGGACAGCAGCTAATAAACCCTACACTGTCCTGAACAAACCAGAATGTATAATCATTCTGTGTATAATTCAGTAAACCCAAGGCTAGGTTAATGATTTGAAAACAAAATGTGTAGTAAAAACAAATGCAAGAGGCAAAGGTTCTCAGATGTGTAAATGATGAGTTAACTGATCCCACTTTGAGTACACTGTCAAGTGTAAGTTCAGATGTTAGCCATAAATGAAAACAAATTTTGCAGCAGAATTTGGCGCACTGCTGCTTTGTTCCCCTCCACACCCCCCGAACTGTGACCTTTAATTAACATTGCTTTTGTAACATTGTGTTTCTAGACCTAGGAGCTTGCCTTGTTATTTAAAACAAGCTATGGAACAGAAACCTATTATGTTTTTAAAGATTGCAAGGCAAAGCTGAGGAGAGAACTTTTAATCAAATGTAGCAGCAATCCCAGGCAGTACTCTACGTGCCTTTATCCTTCCAGCAGTTTCCTTGTGACCTAATAGCAGTGTGGACCTTCAAGTTTAAAAACTCCCTGTTGTTGAAGAAAAGAGGAAAAGAATGAATGGAGAGACCAGGTGTTTTAAAACACCTTACAGGCTGAACTTTGTCAATCTTTAGGTTGACTTTCAGGGGATAGAACAAGTAGGAGAAATTCCAAAGTGAAGACTCCATGGGGATCTTCAGCCTTGGTTTTTTTCCCTAACTGACCTCTTTTCTTTGCATTTATTCCCTCAACTGAGCCTTTTCTTTTCATTGTTTCCTGCCCCTCAATTTTGAAAGGATTGACCTAGACCTGGAAAAATTTAAGGAGTTTTGATTCATGCCAACTTCCCTTGAATTAAAGTTCCCTAAGGACAAGTGACATTCCTTATTTCACTCAGCATCCATTTCCAGACAGAAGAAACTGTCAAGTACTTGGCAGGAGTTGGTTTGCTGTGAAGTTTGTTTTCAACTGAGTCTGCAGAGAACAAATTCCAAGTCAGAAAGGCCCTGCCCTCCCTTAGTGCCAAGTTCAAACAGTTAACAGAAAAAAGTCTTTGCTGCAGCAAATCCCACAGACAGCTTCCCAGCGAAGTCCTCGAACTCATGCGTGCGGAGCTTCACAATAGCAGTGTTTGCCTGTGTATACTCCTCTCTGGAGAGAGTGACCTGTGCTTCCACGTCATTCAGAAACCAGCTTATAAGACACCAATGTCTCCCCCAGAAAAAATCTCTTCATTTGCTCCAAATGAGTCTTGCCTCTTTAGTACCACCTGCTCTTCCCATGTATTCAGAAACCAGCTTATAAGATACCAATGTCTCCCCCAGAAAAAATCTCTTCATTTGCTCCAAATGAGTCTTGCCTCTTTAGTACCAATACTTAAAAAGAGTCCTCAAACATTGAAACTAGATTTGTGATTTTTTTCAAGAGTGCTTCGCTATGCAATGAGATAAGAAATTCACCATGCAATCCACATTCATTGGAAAAGAACAATGACTGCACTGCAGTAAAACTTGCTGTGATACTTCCTAACACAGACCCGACTGCATGTCTCCAGAAGTACTTTATTCCCTAAACAATTCCTTTCCCTTTACTCTCTGTATGTAAAAGCATGCCGTAAAGTAGATTAATGGACTTTGTGCACCGCACTTTTGGGTGAGATGATGAGAATAGACAAACCTAAAAAGGGGTCAGGTTATTCCCACAGCCACTCTTCTAGAACTCCCGTGGTCTCATTCCCAAATTCCATATGTAGCTTGCAGCTTGCATTATATTGCAATTTCCTCTTTGAGTTCTTAGATATGTCATATTAAATTGCTCTACTATCATTTGAAGTGAGATTTATGGCCAAGACATGATCAGCTGACTAAAAACAAATGTGTAGGGCTGACAGTCAGTTCTAGAGATTCATGTGCATCTAGTGCTGCTAGGATAGAACCTGGCTGTTGTCTTTACTGCTTATTACTTTCTTGTCTGTGTCAGAGCACAGACAGAATTACTGCAAAGCCTAAAGACATTGTCAGTTTTCTAATATCCAACTTTTTATAAACAAACACATAAAAAGCTATGTCCTATTTTGTTCTTCTGACCCACTTTCCCCAGCCAGCAATCCTGTTTCTAGATTTTTACATTTCAAAGACACAGATGTGAATAAACACAGACAACTGTGCAGGGGAATGCTAGAATACTTCATAAATTGTGTAGATGCGCAAAGTTCAAATACCTAACAGAGAAGCAAAATTTTATGTCTATTAAGTTTAACAAGTGTTTATTGAGCACAGAACACATATTCTGGATGGATGAAAGGGAAAATGCAAAAGTGATTTAGACAAATTATGTCAAAAGCAGAACTCTTTATAAAGGAGTTAGGAGATCTTTTTCTTCCGCCTCCTCCTCCTCTTCTTGACAGTCTAACTGTGTAGCCCTGGTTGCCCTGGAACTTGCTACGTTGATCATGCTAGCTTCCAACTCAGAGTGATCCACCTGCTTCCCACCTCCAAAACGTTGAGTTTAGAGACCTGCCCAACTAGTCAATGATGTGCCCTTCAGGACTGACTTTGGTGCTGGGTCTGGTGACTCATGTCTGTAATCCCAGCACTTGGGAGGTAAAGGCTAGGGGATGAGTGGTTCAAGATCATATCAGTTACCTAGGAGTTTGAGGCTAGCCTAGGCTACATGAGACTCTGTCTCAGGAAGAAATAGAAACAGAGGGGAGGGGGGAGAGAGAGAGAGAGAGAGAGAGACAGAGAGAGAGAGATTGAGAAGCATTTGAAGCATGAGAAGTCTTGACAGAAAGGTTTATTTCTTTGCAAACTTTCTTTATTTGGTGCTAAATATCTAAAATCTTGATGTTAACTGGCTGGCAGTTTTATCACTTGAATTCCTTGACACTGCACTCACAACCACAGTGCCCAAGAATGCTATGAAGGAATGCACAGTGGGTGAACATGTACATACCCATTTCTGCTTAGATACCAGCTTTCATTATTTTAAGAAAATAACATGAATGCTTCTCAATTTTCACTCCTTCTGTTGATTTGAATCAGTTACTTTCATGCTACAATCTTTATGTTTTGATCTCCCAACATGCTTGATAATATGACTCTTGATAATTCACAAGCTATCTAAAGACAGTCATTGAACTGTGTTAGTACTAAAGTTCATGGGTATCACCATGACTTCCTGAAAGATTATTTGGTTAAGATAAGCTCTCACTCTTTGGCTGTTGCCAACTCTAAAAACAGAATTATAGATCTCCTTATTTAGATGCTGAATATGAGTCCCTTAAAACTAATTTATTGGGCACACTGCTACAGTTAGACTCACAGGTGACCCAAATAAATAAACAGAATAAAGACAAAAAATTGCCTCAGTTACTTAAGAGTCTAATCTGCGCTTCACTGGAGAGAGTTGATTGACATTTTGAGTGCCATTGGTTAAATATATCTTCAAATTGATCTGTGACCAGGCAAGTTTGGTCCCTAACAAAACTTGATCCCTCAAGATCAATAGAGGTCCTCAGGTTTGCAATCAACCACTTCAGTCATATTAAGGACCGAATCAAAGCAGCTCTGCTGAAATTTCAACAACTATTTAACAATCTACCTGAAAGTGGTCTATTCTGTCATCTGTATATACCTATTTAAAGAATAACTTTAGACCAGAAATAGGGCTTTTTATGGGGCAGTCCTATTTTAAGAATGTTATACCAGATTATATGGGAAGTTTTGCCCTCTGTAAGAAGCGATGTATTTGTAACATTCTAGTAGTGACAAAATAGGTGTTAAAGTTTTATTATTACTGTTTATTAGAAAGGACCTGCTCTCTGTCCATAGCATTTAAGATGTCACTATTGCTGCATGGGCCCTTTCTAGTATTCGTTTTTACCATGTTTCAAAAAGCTCACAAATAGTATTCCATGCTTTTCATAGTTTTTATCTATTTTAGGCAATTCAGAAATATTGATTAATATTACAAGGCTTTATCTACTGGCATTTTTATACTATAGGTGGAAGTTAAATGGAACAGATGTTGACATTGGTATGGATTTTCGCTACAGTGTTGTTGAAGGAAGCTTGTTGATCAATAACCCCAATAAAACCCAAGATGCTGGAACTTACCAGTGCATAGCAACAAACTCGTTCGGAACAATTGTGAGCAGAGAAGCAAAGCTTCAATTTGCTTGTAAGTAGCAATTATGTCATCCCGCAAATGTTACTTTAAGCTTTTATACCATTGTATGAATATTCTTTTTAAAACAGTTCCTTCTGAAAGTACACAGATTTTAATTTGTTATATGATTCTCTTTGTTCTTTCTTCATATTTAGAAAATATCTTATGTGAGGAATAAACTGTGAATAGGATAGAAGAGGTATGTTCATTTTTTCATAAGGATTGTTTATATTTTCATCAGGATTGAGGTAGCTTGGCTATATAATAATTTGGTTATATGATTGTATTAATTACTTTTCTGTTGCTGTGATAAAACACCATGACCAAGTCAGCTTACATAACAAAGAGATTATTTGGCTTATGGTTCCAAGGCATAAGAGGTTTAATTGGCAGCAGAGATGGTCAAAGTGGAAAGTCAAACTATCACATCTTCAAGCTTGCACAGGAAGCAGAGAGAGACTGGAAAGCCACCAAGGTTTAAGAATTCTCAAAGCCTACCCCCAATGATGTGTTTCCTCCAGCATGGTCACGCCTCCTAAAGGTTCCATGACCCTCCCCAAACAGCACCACAAACTGGGGACCAAGTGACCAAATACTTGGAGCCTTTGGGGAACCTTCTCATTCAAATTTAAAGTACATTGATGCTTTAAATGGATATAAATTTGCACATGTACTGAGTTTACATTGATAAATGTATGCATGCAATATCTACAGACACAGAGACCTTAAACAGAATGTCTGTGAAAGGCAATTGAACTTTGAGTAAACTAGCAGTTGGTAAGGAAGTTCTTTAACCATGAAGCTCGGAATGTTTCGGGGCAGGGGGGCATGAGATCAGCAGTCAATTAATCAGTTAGTCCTATCATTCTCCATTTTCATTTTATCCAGTAGGAAAAAAATTGAAAAAGTAGGAATAAAGTATTGTTCACCTTTTATATTTCCAAATTAGATCACTGAAGAAACAAATCACCACTTCTTAAGACTGTTAAAATTCCTTGCATTTGTGAAGGAAAATAAAATGGAGAAATAACTATTTAAAAGTGAAAATCCAGGGGCAACAGTAGTACACATTGGAGTGGTGGGAGAATGGACGTTCAGCTACAGTATTAAGGGTTTATGTAGTTGCATAGGATTATGTACTTCCTGGTATGAAATCTCAACTCATGGAGCACTACATTAATATCAAAATTTCATAAATACAGTCTGTTGGTGGTAACACAGTAGAATATTCTCATTAACAAAATCCTCTCTGGGAAGTGAATATCAAATATACCTATTATAATATTCAGCACCTAATCCATTATTGTTGTTGGATGGCATTTTATTATTTGAGAAATGATTTTTCTAGGAAATGTGTGTATTTGGGACTCCAGAGTTATCTTGTTCATAAATGTCTCCTAAGATAATCTTCTCAGTATTCTTAGATACACAGAATTAAAAGGGGGTAATATATCTGATGAATTTCCACCAAGCTAAAGTACCTATTCCCTTTGGTTTAATACAAGCTAGTATCTTCACTAACTTTTAGTAATGACAAGAGAATCTTGTTAGACTCCTTCTGCAAAACAATCGTAGAATCATAGGAGCTCAGGCATAGGGAAAAAATCTCACTATTCAATTCATTCTGATTCTTTGATTTTTTTGATTCCATTGCAAATTTAAGAACACACAAAAGTGACGATAGTGACAATAGTACCGAACTATCAGTTTTCTAACGCACGTTTAAAAAATAATTTGTTATCAGGCACACACAGGAGAGTTCTCCCTCATAAAGCCTTTGGAGTTTATTTATTTATTGGTCAGGGCTTCTTCAAAGTGACCTAGACCGAGATCAGGCCGAAGGTCAGCTCATGAGCCATAACGGTAAGAGCTAGGAGTCCCCTTTGCCACTTCCCGGTTGCTGTGCAGATGCCAAGGCACCCTGGAAAGTCCCGACAATAGGGGCCCGCAGAAGCCAAAGGCTGTGTCCTTGATTGGTTTCTTCAAAACTGGAGACAGCCTTCAAGGTTTGGTCTGGGCTGTGAGCAGCCTTCACCTTAAACAATAAATTGCCAACCTTCAAGATTATCCTTTTATAAGAATGCAGGCATTTTTATCATCAAAGAACATTATAAAGACAGAATCTCATATCCCAGTTATGAGACAGTTATTTAAATAGAACAGAAATAGAATTGTTTACCCCAAGGACATGTTTCTCTACTCAGTTTTAGGTGGGTTATCAAGAAGACCAGTATTTTGAATCCATCTTCCTCATCCTACATCATAGGTGCTATATGCATTCCTGCAAATCCCCTCCCAAAGCTGTTGCTGACAATTCTACTGACAGAAATGTCACCTCCTCATCATAAGGAAATCTAACACAGTTGCTCAAAATTATGAAAGAAAATATCTTTCTTAAACTTTAGTTAAATAATTTTGATTTGGGATTAGGACAAATTTTTCAACAACTACTGAATTGTCCATAAACATACTTCTGCTGTTTTGTACTATGTATTTATACAAAGTGGTATTCTCAGCATTGAAGATTATAAAATGAAAATACAGATCAACTCAGAAATGTTGACAATGTCCTGCAACATAAGATATTCATCCAAGATGTGATTCTTCATAGAAAAATAAACAAGTATATGGAAATTTGCTTTGGGTTTAAACTGGGGAAAAATTATATGTATACAAAAAAATTAGTCAAATAACCTGTAAATCCCTCTAATTTTCATTTCTAATTCTTTTTTTTTCTTAAAGATTTATTTTATTACTTTTTTATTTAAAAAATTTATTTGCGGGTCTGCAGTGCTGGCAGCATGGGCAAGTATTGTGGTCTATGTACTGCCAGGAAGCTCTGTCCATAGTCACTGATGGGACCAGAAATGGTATGATAAACAGTACAAGAAAGCCCATTTGGGCACAGCCCTTAAAGTCAACCCATTTGGAGGTGATTCACATGCCCAGGGAATCATGCTGGAAAAAGTAGGGGTTGAAGCTAAACAGTCACATTCGGCTATCAGGAAGTGTGTCAGGGTCCGGCTCATCAAGAATGGCAAGAAAATCACAGCCTTTGTGCCCAATGATGGTTGCCTGAACATCATTGAGGAAAACAATGAAGTTCTGGTTGCTGGATTTGGTCGGAAAGATCAGCAGTTGGTAATATTCCTGCAGTCCGCTTTAAGGTTGCTAAAGTAGCCAATGTGTCCCTTTTGACCCTGTCAAAGGCAAGAAGGAAAGACCAAGATCCTAAATGATGATGGAAACACAGTAGTAATAAATTTTCATGTCGAACAAAAATTATTTGTTTTAGCTGGTTGTGGTGGTGCACACCTTTAATCCCAGCACTCAGGAGGCAGAGGCGGGTGGATCTATGTGAGACCAGCCTGGTCTACATAGTGAGTTCCACGCCAGCTGGGACTACAGGAGACCCTGTTCTAGAAAGACCAAAAATAATTTTTATTTGTTTCTAATTCTTAATATAGGAAACTAGTTAGATCTCAAATGTGTGACACTATATCTGTCCCATAATTTATTTCTCTTTTGAGCCCTTAATCCATAATCATATTCTTGACAACATACTCAGTTGTGTTGATTCATCTATTAAATTGCAGCCTTATAAACAGGTACACAGTTCTATGTATGTGCCTTGACCTTAGCAGAGGACACTAGAGCCCTTGTATCCACACTGTGAACTTTTGTTGCAGTTAATGTAGCTGGCCATACTGTTTGGTTTCTAAAAGCAGTAGTCTCAGAGTATGACCTTATTTTGAACATAAAATAATGTAAAATTTGAGAATTCATTTTTAAATGTGTTTCTACTAATCCACAGCTTTTCAACTATCTCATTTTATTAACCTAAATTCAGAATATTTTCCTCTCCTAAATGCCCCTTCGCAGCAGTGCCTTTTTAACCTATCACAATTGAAATCATTTAAAAAGCATTGTCTTTTTCCTCCCTGTCCAACATGTTGCTCAGTCTTGGGACTTTATATGTTCCTTCTTTGGAGGCTGGGAGACAAGCTGCTGTCTCCCACTCCAAATCCATGTGTTTCTTGGTATGGGAAAGGCTGCTGGTCAAATTGAATTCTTTCTCCCAGTCTCGTAAGAAAGAACTTCAGGTCTGAGGTTAGACTGCTGGTTCCCAATCCCTGTGCATGGTAGCAGCTTTTTTTTTTTTTTTTTTTTTTTACAGTTATACAATATTGTACTCAGTATAAACTCTATAAGACATAAGATTAAATTAGGTTTTAAACTTTAAAAAAGAGCTCCATTTCATTATTAAAATACACAGTTCCATACAGAAAAAATTCATTTTTAATACAATTGATACTAAGTTGCACATGCATTTCTAATCTCTATATATCTGATTATTACTAGTCACAGTTGCTTTCTGAGCTCCTTGGCATCTGAGCATGGATATAAAGTCATCAGGTAGATTTCAATGGTAATGCTTTTCACATCTACAAAAGTCAATGCCAAATGGCTCAAAGGCCTCAATGAAACTCTGAAACTATTAGAGAAAACATTGGAAAAAACCTACAAGATGTAGGTGTAGGAAAAGATTTTCTAAACCAGACATCAATTGCTCAGGAAACAAGGGAAAGAATTAACAAATGGGACCTCATTAAACTAAAAAGCTTCTGTACATCAAAGGAGACAACCAAGGAAGCAAACAGAAAACCCACAGAATGGTAGCAGCTTTTAAAGTAGGTAGGTTTTGTTGTTATGTATGGTGACTGATATTTGTGATCTGCATCCTTCAGAGACTGAGGCAGTAAGAGTGCCCTGAGTTTGAGGTCACCTTGGACTTGATTGTGAGTTTCAGGCCACCTTGGGCTACAGAGTGAGACCTTATATAGAAAAGAACAAGATAAGTGGCTTGGGATGTAGCTCAGTTGGCAGAGTGCTTGCCTAGCATGCATGAGGTCCTAGGAGTGAATCAACACTGCATAAACTTAAATATATTTTGTTTTTCTGACTTATTGACTGTCCTTCAATTTGATATCAACAGAAAATGTGATGGGCAT